ACTCTGTTTTTATTGTTGTTGTTGGCATCTAATGGCTGCTGGTTGTAAGCCACCCTGTGTCCCTCTATGAGGGTGAGAAGGACGGGATATCAATGTCTGAAACAAATAAATAAAAATAAATCTTATTGTGCATGGAACCACTATATTGAAAAATATTCAGTAATATCTATATCTATATATAAAAAAAAAAACCCCAGGGGAAAGTGGGTAAGGATAGTGTGAGAACTGGATTACATAATTTAGTGGAAAATATTTTGAAGAAGATCAACACATTTTACTTTGCACAGGCTTTTAGATTACGTTTACAATTTTACATTCCTTTCAGCAATCCTTGTTTAGAACAGTCCCAGTTAGCGCTCTGTCACAGTGTTAGGAGGTCATAGTGAATCCTTCAAAAAGGCATTTCCGATCCAGTAGGTGCAAGAGCTTTATGAAGACATGCATTATATACTCAGTCAGCTTTTGCTCCATATTTTAATTTGGAAAAGGGAAATGGTCAAATATAACACACAACAGTCAAGCAAAAACACAGAAATAACAATGCAAGATGCTTTGCATCTGATGAAATGGGACACTGTTCACAAAATTTTATGCGAAATAAAACTAGTCTTTAAAGTGTCACAACTATTAGACTATGGATTGTTATTTTTACTACAACAGACTGATGTGGTTACCCCATTGTTCAGATCACAATGAACATGTGGGCAAAGCATGTGCTCTGCCACTGACCAACTGTCTATCCCACACTTCCTCTTTTGCAGTTGTGTTTGACCTATCACACTGTAGCCTACCTTTGCCACAGAGACCAGATGTTACCTTAAAGAATCCATCTCTTAGTACCGATCTTAACATATCACTTAACTTGATAGGATTCATTCACATTAATAGATAGCATGGTAGGGTTTCTGCTAGGCTGTGGACTTTGAGTCCAAGGGTCACCACTGACCTTTGTAAAGAACTATGCCACCACTGGTGAATGAATTCCCAGACACCTTGTATCCATGTCTCTGAAATTACATGTCATATGCACAAGATGCATGTTTTCCAACCTTACATATGTAGATGCATTTGATTCTCTGATCTTTCCTCTCTATGTAGCTGCAATTTTGTGGGGTGGACTTTTACTCTTCTAACTTTACCTCTTGAACCCAGCTGTGATATCTCCTTTGAAACAGAATGGCAGTAAAAGAATGACCTATCAAGTCAGAGAATGACATATCAAGTCTGTGAGAGCAGACTCTGAGTAATCAGTTGAGTTAATTGAATTGTTGCCAGAAGCTTGCTCATGCCACACTGCAATAGTTTTAATGTGGTCCCTATGACACTAGTAAAAGTCACTCTGAAAAAAGGATTCACAACAGCAATATTAGGTTTGTGTAATATCTACTTGTAATAACAGAAGTAACAGAAAAAGAAGAGTTCTGTAGATTCTGAGACTGCTAAAAAGACAAATAAATGGGTCCTAGAACAAATATTGCCCGAACTCTCCCTTTAAGCCAAGATAACTCAACTGAGTCCGCCATATCGTGATAAGACATGACTCATTAGAAAAATTATAATGCTTGGCAAATAGAAAGCAGTTGGAAAAGAAGAAAATTGCATTCCAGATGGATAGACTCAACCATAGTCCTGAGTCTGCAAGACTTTTGTAGGATAGAATGACTTGGATGGCTCTCATTCATATAATCCGTTTCAGTCGAAGTCAAATTCAAAGGCAATTAATGACAACAAAGTAACAAACATTCTTGGAGTGTTGGCTAAGTGAAGGTTTCTCCTTCCTTCTTCTTCAACCAGATTCCCTATACATATAAGCAAAGTTGAATGTTAGGCAACATTGTGTACAGAATGTGGGAATGTTTAAGTAATGCAGTCCAAGAAAAAATATATTGCTGCTGGAGGAGGCTTCCATTCTGACTCTGTGTGTGTTTCAGAATTGGGAGCATGGAACTGCAGAGTTAGTTGTCTTTAGGGCCTCATAGAAATAGTAATTCTGTCCTGACTTTCCACTTTTTGTTATACTACAATATGAGAATAAAATAAATTGTCTTGGCATTGTATTCACTAGATGTACATAAGGCACTCAATATTGTGAAAGCACAAAATGTTTTTATTGTGACACAAAGGTTAAGTATATCAAATGGTAATGATGTCAGTTAAATCAAGATCTGTTCCAAATTTTAAAACAACAAAATGTTCAAAATTTAAGGGAATGTATACCTCTGGAAGACAGAGTACCTCATTTCATTCCACTGATTCAGCTATGCTATGCAAAAATTTCAGGGTAGTCTGGTGCATGTTTATTCAGATGTTAAGCTGTTCTTTCTTCACTGGGAATTATTTCCCATTAAGTAGCTATGGGATTGCAACACACAGAGCAGTTCAATCTATGTCTGCTGAGAAGTTCTACATGGTAAATACACATTTTGTAAGGACCCTGGCCTACTTTATTCCCAATGTAGTGTTTAAGGAATCTTGCAGTATAATATAAACTATCGAAGTTCAATGTTTTGCCTTTTTTAGACAGTAGAGGGATGTTATTTTGGACAATGTTTGTATTTACTCTCGAAAGGGAGAAGGCCAGAGAGGGAAGTGGTGGGTTAAAAATGCCAGATGGGCAATAGCAAAGGGAGGACTCCTGAACACACTCTTATTCAGGACCAACTGAAGTCCAATTGCTGTGCTCTCCATTCAACATTTGAACCACTCCAGATGGGAATGGCTGCATCACATGTTTGTTGTCTAACAGATACCCAAGGAAGTTGAAGTATCAGCACCACTATGTCATTTTGTTAAACAAAGCTAAATTAAGCCAGACTGATAAAGCCAGGCACTGAGTGGAATTATTTCAACTGTCTTGTTAGGAGATGGGATGACATTAAACTTCAGATGCTTCTCTCCTGGGTAGAAAAATGATGTTTTCTGATTCCTTCACTTGTACATCACCTTTGAGATCTCTCCCTTCCTCTTTCCTCACATGTAATGTGCAGCTGGCCATCTCAAACCTACTCTGCAATGACTAGATAGATGCTACACATACATACAGATCTCAGAGGTGGCATACATGAAGGACTGCTCTACCAGCAGACTTCTTTTCCTATATATTTGAGAAGTTGGTGTAACTTTGTGGAACAGCCAGAGCTTGGACTACAAATCCTAGATTCTCCCAGCCATTATGCCCAATGACCCTGTCAACCAGATTATGAAAACTGTCATCTTCAGAAGTTACTTTCACAGGCTTTGGATGTCTTTTTATATACCCCTTTTGGAGGGTATTATAAGGCATGTCTGTGAATCATCTATTCATGTAATTTATGAATGTGTTACAACATGTTAATTTTACAGAGAAACACATGGTCAAGTTATCCAGAATAAAATTTGGTATTTAGGTAGATCACAAGCTTGCTAATAGCTACTTCCTGATGGTCAACCTTGCAGTTCAAATTGTTGACTGTTCAGATTGTTGACTATTGCTTATTGGTATTTTGAAAACCTAGCAACATTAGTTCTTCTCCTCTTTTACTCCCCAGCCTCAAATGTTCTGAAGTGCCTCTGAAATTCCATCTTCTCCAAAAGTGTCATACGTCTCCCATCATCTCTTGCTCTTTGGCTATGTTGGTTGGGGGTGATAAGAACTGCTCAACAATATTGTATGCTTCACGACACACATGCATCTCCCAGTAGAAAATTCAGTAGCAGTTCTGTATGACTGGTTTGATTCACAACAATGAAAGGCAATAACATTTTCCACTATCAATTTCCCTTAGTATGGTACTATTTGCAACACTGCCAGTGACCTATTTCTTATTTCATGGTCAAATGAAATCCTCTTTGTGCTGTGATGCTCATTGGCCAATTTTTAGGCTTCTTTAGACAAAGCTATTAGTAATATCTCCTAAAAAGAAGAAATGAAAAAATAGCTGGGGTTTAAATTTTCTGGATATTTCCATACTGAAGTTGTTTCACATGAAATAACTTTAACAAACAATTCAGGGGTCAATGATTATAACAGCAAAATTATGTTCTAATGTTTGGATGTATTAGTATCTTGTTATGATACAGATATCCAATTTAACAACAACATGATCAGCTTATAGGACATCCTGAAGTTATCTCTATTCTTGCATATATTTGCTTTAATAACATTAGAGATATTGATTTTTCCTGTTGCATTTAGAACAGTCTTAGATCTTCTTAGTGGCCATCCTGGTTGGTAATTGTAGGAGTGATGCTCCAGGCTATAGTTTTTTCCAAAGTCTCAATGTTTATTTCTGTAATGCTTCTCTTAATTTCATTTTCCCCAACAATTGTTGTTGTATAACTTATGATGACCCTAAAGTGAACCTGCTATGGGGATTTCCTACCATTCATCCCTCTCTTGCACCTTCTATTAACTTTTGCTCTTGATCCCTCTTTGCTATTGTTGTTGTTATTGTTTTTATTTATATACCAAGACACAAACATGTTTTTTGTATTGCAGTACTTGTACATCTCATCTCTTTGCCTCCTTTTCTCACCTCATCACCTTGTATGGTTGCATTCTCTTATCTTGTATCTTCCAGCCATCTGATGCAATGCATTTCTTCCCTATCTTCTCTGAGGTTGCCTCACCTTGGCGCTGTAGCATTCTCAGATATTTCCCTTCCACTTTAGGCTGTGGGAGAACCTTAACTAACCCACATAAGGTGTAATTCAGTTTTTAACAAAATATTCAGAATGCATAATACTGCTTCTTTAAGCAAGCAGTGAAAAGCGATGGATAATATAGAATCTTAAATAATAGACATTTACCCTCCATTGGTCCCATTGCTTACTATTTACTCTTCACAAGAAACTTTGGAAAACAAATTTCAGCTAGACTTTCTTGCATAATTGTAGAATTGACCCAGAGAAATGAATGTTGAACTGACAGGCTGGGCCATAAAATTCATTCATTGGCTAAACAGATTCAATGGCTTGTTTATCATAAAGCACTTGGATAGGATAGTAACCTAACATTTTGTTCTATCACTCTGTGCATTCAAAGTCTGGAGACTTGCTTTCAAAAATGTGAACCAGACTATGGTCCAATCAGAAACTAGAAGAAACTTTATGAAATCCAACCAACTGGGTGGTAAGATAGCCCGCTCAACAACCTGTGTGGCCTACATGATTTTGCTAGTGATACCATTTGGAATAGACACTCAAACAGGCAAATACAGTGTCTCTGCAGACCATGAAAACATGGAGTGAATAAGGATTTTTCCCAAGTTTAGACAGGCCCTAGGAAGAAGGGCAAGGTCCTTCCCTCCTCTACTCCCCTGTTAAGTGAGTGCATTTCACTTTGAATATGGTTTGCAGCAGTTGAATTAATCTCAAGAGGAAGAGGGAACTGGGAGGAGGAGTGGGACTGCAAAGGATTAATTGGGGCACTCCCTTTCAAATCCAAACAATTGGAGCAACCAGAGCATATATTATTACTATGAATCTGTTGGCACTTGTACACCTTTTACCAATGAGCAAATTGGATCTTTGGACCATAATAAAGTTTGATTGTATTTGCTTCCTTATTATTTGGCGGACTGTTACTGATAAGTACATAAACATTATTATCACTTCAACATGAGACAACAAAATGTTAAATAAAAATGAAGAGGAAAAAAAGGAAACTGTACTTCTGAAAAGATAGCATTTATTTCCCAAATGTCCTTCTCTGATAAAGCTTAAACATGTTTTTAAAGTAAGAGTTTGATAAAATCACAAAGTCTATCTTATTTACAAGTTGTTGATTATATACAAGTATACAACAAGGATGGAATTATTGGTGCAATTTAGACAAAGAAAATGAATTCTGTATATTTTCTGTAAATTACAGTCACTAACCAAATCTCTTGAAGGCAGTTTAAGAACTGTGAATGTCCTTGTAACAGTTTCAGAATAAGTTAAATACCCAAGAGATCACTACCATAAGAAATCTAAGCTGATGAAACAGAAAGTCCAAATGTGTTTTGATCTAAGAGCCTACCTATCTGAAGAAAGATTTCATTTTAGTGGTCCAGGATTAGATTAGCAAAAACTGTTTTTCTATGCTGTTTTTTATTTACCACTTCTTCATGGTTGGCCAGGAGTTTTTTTAATTTACAGTGTATGAAAATGAACTGGCTTTAATTACAGTGTTGATTTTTTTTCTTCTGACATCACTTGTTCCATTGTCCATTGCTTTTCTCTTACTTTCCATTACCTGTATGATAAACTAATTGTTACCAATACACCTCTGATGAATTATTAGAAGAAACTGGAAACGATTACACCAATAAAATAACTCCTCTATTGTCCATTATATTACTTTTGCAATAAAAATGTATTACATCCTCATTGTATCCCCCAAATGATTGGTTATGGATAACTTTGTTGTTTGTAATTTATTAATTCTAAGCCCTTGCCTAGATGGACAGCGGATTGAAATTTAAACCTGTACATTAGATTTGAAGCTGTCCCTAAGTGTTTGCCATCTGACACATTACTAAATTACTTGTTTGAAATGTGTTCAGCTGAACTCTCTTCCTCTGGATATAAGTGTCAGTTTTGTCCATTATTTTACAGAAATTACACTTCTTATTGCCTTTCTCTATATATTTGTATACACGGCTAGAAATCAATATATTAAAATGTTTGGGTATTCTAAGTGCTCTGCTTGCTTATTCAGTTTTTTCAGAAGAGTTTCGCTATATAGCTGAAAGTTGTCAGTATAGTTCAATGTTTCCATCAGACTAAAAAAATGTGGCAGTGGCAGGTATGTGTGAATGTTTCTATTCACTATACAATTATTATCATGGACTATATAGGATTATTAATATTCACCAAAGCAAGAAACACCACTGCTTTTATTTGAGAAACTGCAAGTCGCTTCTGGCGTGAGAGAATTGGCCGTTAGAACACATGCATGCACTCAAGCGGGTGCAAAATTGCTTTGGCTGTATTAATGTGTTTCACGTTGGACTACAGTGGTGTCTGCTCATCAGTTGTTTCTGTTTTGTGCTCTCTCTTTTTTTTGGTTACATATTTATGAAATAGATTTAGGAGAGATCTTCTGAAGGATCTGCACAGGGCAAAATATATGAATGGATCTAAACATGCATTTAGGGATGTCAGCCATAAAGTGCTCTCCTTTATATAAAACAACGTGTTCTGGGTTGAACATTTGAAAACATCTCTTGTTTGGCTCAAGGTGTAAGGAATCCTGGCAAAATGGAAAGGCACAAAGCAAATGAAGAACACGCCAATAATTATGAATACTTTCACGTTTACAGTCTTTTTGTTCGTGTTTCCTTTGCTTCTTGTTCTTTTGTAGGATTTGTACAGCTCCTGTGTTATGAGTGTGTAGCACACAACTATAATGGCAAAATTAGCCCAGAAAATAAACTGGCAAACATAATTAACAAGTTCGTGCCATACTAAACCAAAATCAGATTTCAGGTCTGCACATTTCTTCACATTTTCCTGTGTCGGCTTCTTGTCTGTCAAAATCATGTTAGGAAGAGACAGACAAAACATGAATATCCAGATAAGCGCAGATAGGATTTTGGATACCAATGTATTGTCAGAGCTGACTGGTTTGAAGGGTCTGGCAGTTTTCAAATAGCGATCAATGGTTATGAGGCCCAAGAAGATAATGCTGATGTACATGGTGAAGTAAAATATGACTTGAGTCACTTTGCAGACAACCCCTCTCAATTCCCAGGACACCAGCTTTGCATCACTGAGAATTTTGAATGGAAAAGTTAGGATCATGAGGATGTCAGCAATCACCGTGTTCTTGAGAAAGATGATAAAATTAGATTTGTTGGCAATCTGGAAAAAGACTCCCATGGCTAATCCATTCATAATTATTCCCACAACAAAAATAAATGTGTACAACAAGGGAAAGAGAACTTGATTCATGCTTTTATCAGTGCTGCAGTTGCTGCTGTTTCCAGAAGGACTGTACACAGGGTCCATTTGGGCTGTATTTTCTTCCTACCAAGAATAAAAAAGCAGATCAGATACAAATACCAGCAATGGTTTTAATGAAAGATACTTCTTTAGTGGGTGTTTCTGAGTGAGCAGCTTTCAGCAAAATGTAGGTTTGTTACACCATACACAGAGAATCTATCTGTTTATTACCTGTAATATAACACACCCCTCAGCCAGTATTATTGTTGTTATAGCATACCTTTTTATAAACCAGAATTCAAGACCATATAAATGATGTAGCTAAAAATATACAAAAGATGTAGCTAAAAATATACAAAAGGTGTAGCTAAAAATATACAAAAGGCCAACAATAAAATGGAATAATTTTTTTAACAATATTGAGATAATTTTAAAAATGGACAAAATAAAAACATGACAATAGAAGGACAACAAGGATGGGGGCATCCTGGCCTTCATGGAAAGGGAGTTCTAGAGCCAAGCATAATTAACACCCCCCCCCCCATTTTGCAACTCCACCAGGTTTAGGGATATCATTGTGTCTGTGAAATCCTAGCCATATAGGATTTGATATTTTGGTACATAGCCATAACCTAAGCTGCATAGAGAACAACCTGTGATGTGCTGTATTAAGCATCAAGCTTGTAGAAGAGAAATGTTTCTTCTAATGTGTTTTGAAGCATTACAAGGAATGTTCTTCATTTCAATATAATAAATAGTGTGTAATAAATTGTATAACTAAGAACTCAGTCAAATGTTGTTGCGGATCCAGTCTATAGTACAGTATATACCACCTGGTGATGATACAAGTCAGCTGAGCTGACACTAGACAATTTGATGCTTTATTTGGCTATTCCTTTTTTTGGTTAGCTCTTAGTAAAAATGTCATTTAAAGGCACTGAGAAGTTTCTGAAACTAGCTAACATTTTTGTATGTTGTTGGTGCCATCTAGTGGCTGACTAAACATGCACAGAAGGACCAGAAATTGGTCCTAACATCCCCGAGTTGTTCCCATGGAAAAAGATTTGCTTTTGAGTTACACAGTTTAAGGAACGGTTTCCTGTCTCTTATTAGAGATGTACAGACGACTCACCAAACATCTCATCCTTTATGAAAAGATTCAAGACATACTGAGAAATTCCATCAAGAAAATTGTTGATTTCAATGCCCCTTGTATTGCATTTGGGACTTCTTTTGGTGAAAAATTAATTTTATATGAGACACTACTTCATTTTGTACAAAAGTTGAAGAGCCATATTATTGTTTTCATTTTTTTAAATAGTTTTTTTTGTACAAAATAGTTTCAGTGAAAAAAATATTTCTGCACAAGACAAGCTTTTTTTGCACCCAGAAAATTTTCTCAGCAAAAGTTCTGAAATGTGAAAAATTATTAAACATATGCAAAAAGCTTTCATAATATTTATCAGGAAGAAAACATTTGGAACTCTTCATTCTTGAGCAGCACAAGGAGATAAGCAAAAATTTACATCACCATTATGCAGTAGTTTGAATATATATATATATATATATATATATATATATATACATACATACATACATACATACACACACACACACACACACACACACACATAGAGGTGGGGGGAGGTGGAATTGTTCATAATTTTCTCTATACTTTTATCCTCAGGCCACTTAGCATGAACTTAATATATTACATCAATCTAATGGTTTTATGGGAGGAGCAGAGCACTGATAGGAAAACCATCCATCTTATACTCTGCAGCCTTTCATGGTAATTGCAGCCGTTATCCTATTATTCCTTAACAAAACTATCCATCATAGGTCATATTATTTTTCACACTGTTCCAGAACTAATCTTATCTTAACTCCAGCTGCTCAAACATTTGCTGGTGTAAGTGATCAGATGAATATGGAAGCAATGTACACCTCTTAATGGTTGTATTTATTTTTTGGTAGCACTCTTACTAACATCCCCGTGGAACTGTGTAAAGAAGAAATATGCCATCAATAGTCTCTGGAAACAGGTTTTTTTAAAACTACGTCCTTTAATATGTACTCTGTCTCTCACTAATTTGACATTCCAGCTTTCTAAAAAAAATTGATTGAAATTTTCCAATTAGGTAAAAGAGAGAAAAAAAGAGAGGGCCGTTAGGGATGTAATGGGAGTACAGTGTGAGATGTGGAGAAGTGGGGATAGGGAGAAGGGGTGAGGGAAGGCTAGGAGTGGGGAAAACTGGTAAGTTTCTCATCCTCTTCATCACTTGTCTTTTAGTTCTTGTTATTATTTACTCAATCCCAAAGTGTAACTCTTTCTCTTCTTATTCTTTCTTCTTATTTATAATATTATCATCATCTTCTCTTGTTTCATATAATTGATCAAAAGTGTCCAGTCTGTTTCTTTTCTCGGATTATTTTGTCGATATGTAAGTTGCTGTGTTAATTTCTCCATACTCATGTTTTCCTTTATTTTTGTCAACCATTCATTGATAGTTGGGGTTTCTTTTACTCTCCAGTGTCGCACGTATACTATTCTGGCCACCACTGTTAGATAGTTAAAGAGGGTGTCTTTATTTTTCGTCTAATGTTTCATGTATAATGCCCAATAAAAAGTGTTCCAATTTAATTTGTTCCTGTAATATCTTCTGAATGGTGACATGAAGTGCTTTCCAGAATTTTTTGCTTTTGTACAATTCTACCACATGTGGAAGAAGGTGCCTTTTTCTGATTCACATTTCCTCCATCCTAACTTTTTATGGCATCAGTTTCTGTGGGCAGATATGTGCTTTGTGCAATGAAGAGATCTAGGACCCATTCACACTACACAACTAGGGCACAATACTCTACCTTAATTGCCATGATTGCGTCCTATGGAGTCCTGATATCATTTAAGTTCTTTGCTCATTATTCCTGTCCTTGAGAATAAATGCTTCAAACTGCAAAAGATTTATTGCTTAGTTCTTCCTCATGTCCATCTGCCAAAGGTGACCCATTATGATAGTTTTCCCTTCTAAGCTCAATTTCAAATTGGCATCTTTGAAAAGTTACCTTTGCAGTTGCATCAAAGCATAACCAGTGTTGAGGATCACAGACATAACATTTAAACTCAGGTGTGTAGAATCTTCCAAGTGATCTTGACTCTAAGGGTGCATTGGCAGTATGGAATTAATGCAATTTGACATCACATTAACTGCCATGACTCGATGCTGTGAAATCATCGAAGTTGTAGTTTTACAATATCTTTAGCCTTCTGCAGCAATGAGTGCTGGTGCCTCACCAAACTACAACTCACAGGAGTTGATAGCAATGAGCCATGGTAGTTAAAGTGGTGTCCAATTCCATTCTACAATGGAAATGTACCCAAAGTAAAACCAATCCATCAGCATGGCTAATAGTCTATCATCCATCCACACTGGGAGTTTCCCAGTTTTCAACTGGTATTCTAATTGAGATTTATCAATTAAATTTTTTATTTATGCAAATGCTTCATTCTGAAAATAACATTATCTACATATTTGAATGAAAAACCTAAGCTTCTATCTTCCTCCAAAACAAACAAACAAACAAGCAGGGAAGCATACAATACCATATGCTTTGGAGCTGTTGTAGAATATGACTCGAAGCACGTATCCTGCAATCTAGTATGCACATCTAATTATTCAGGTCTATAGTTGGTCCAGAAATGAGGGGGATTGGAAAAAAAATCAGTATTATATTTTCCAAATTAATTCTTTCTCATATTAGACCACCAGTGGAATATGTTATATCCTAAAGAAGCAAGTGTACAAATTCTTTTGCAAAGAAGGAACAATGCATATTGCAGCAAGCAGGATTTGATGAAAAATAGTAATCTAAATGACATTAGCTGGAGATGTCAGGAGAAAATCAAAAGTTAGGCAGCATCACTATCGGTCTCATATATTGACTCCTACAAACTATAATCAATTCAAGTCACTTAAAGATATACTTTTGGGTGTCTAAAGTTTCTTATTTATTGAAACATACTAAAATAAGTTCAGAAAGGAAATAGCAAAGATGTAGCATTAAACTTGCATTTAAAATGTTCACACAATGTAAAATACTGAAATTTATTTCCCTTTTTGGAGTATTTTATGCTGGTTTTCTATAGTATGTATAAAAAAACTCATCAGTTTATAATGTTCGCATGTAATACATGTTCCTTCTATCATTCAAGTGTTAGTAGTTTTATTCCTTTTATAGCATAAGATACACCACAGCATTGTTTGTAGGATGCATTTTCAGATATTTTAGAACATTACAAAAATAAAACCATGCATCAGAAAACAAATTTAAATGTGCATATTAAAGTATAATTTCTCACAGTCATTTGTACAATAGTATAAAATGCAAATATTTTAAAAACATTACCTTAATTAGCTGTAATCAACGGAATACTTGGATTTTCCTGCATTGGGAGATTATATTGCTGGTGGGGAGAATGTGCTGACTTCTGAAATATTTTTCTCTTGTTATATAATCAAAAGGTAGTATTTAGTCTGCAGACTTCATCAGCAGAAAGCCTTGTCCTATACAGCCACAGCACAACCTTTTTCAGTCATGAGAGAGAAGAGGAAGTCATGGGTTTCCTTCTTCAGATGCTGTCTGATTTTAAGCAGCTGCCTAGAATACTGTCCATTTCAAATTCTGGACAACAGCTTCGGTTTCTCTCTCTCTCTTTTACTTTTCCTGAAAGGAAAGAGGAGAACTTTTGATTTTAAACAAGCTAATTAAAAACAACAATACAATCTCAGTTTCCCAGGATAAAGATAAAAAGGTCTGTGGGTGTTCTCTGGAATAGATTTTATCAGATTCTAGCACTTGCCTTCTGATGTAAGTCATGTGAGCAACACTTCTCCAAAAGTGGGAAAAAAACTGTGCACCATAATATAATTTAAAAGCTCTTTGGCAGATTATGTAACCCAAACGTTCATGATATAACAAATGGCTTTGTGGTCTGAAGATGATAACAGCAAATCTCTTTCTGAACAGATTCACGGCTGTGCGTATTTTTCTTTGCTACAGTTGCCAAGGTGGCAATTTCTATTGGTTTGAAATAGGGAAATTGTATTTCTGTGTAATTCAGCAACCCTGTCCAGCCCCACACAAAGTTACTATTGATCAGCAGTATTGAGAAAGAAGCAAGGGGCAGATCTGATAGTAGACATAATTCTCTCAGTGGTTTGGAGCACCTTCCTGAGATAACTGTCTCTCTTTGTCTAGCATTGGGCTGTTTCAGATATGAATACTTCAAAATTTCCATTGTGGATAACAGTTTTTGATCCATCTGTCCTCATGAGACAGTCTAATCTCCATCCCCCCCCCCCGCCCCCTTTTAAAAGCTTTCTGAGGATGAATGTATTTTCTCTTTGTCTGAATATGTCTGTCATTTTTCTTGTCTTCTTGTGTGTGCTTTAAGTAACTGCTGGGTCAAGAGACTTGCTCAAAATCACCTAGGAAGTTTTCATGGCTGAGTAGGATTCCAACCCTAATCTCCAGAGTTATAATCCAATGCTCAAATGACTTCTCCATGCTAGTGATGCTGCTCAGATGTTATGTGCGAAGAAATAAAATCTGGAATGAGTGAATTATACTTATGGAACCATTAATAATTAAGCCCTTCTTTAGTTTAGTTCTTTTGCAGCTGTAGTATAATTGTTGACACAAGGAAACAGGGAGCCAAATCACAAATGTGCATGCAGGAAGTTACGATATAACAAAAACACAATTTTGTTTATAACAGCTGTATAGTGTTGACCTGGCACTGGTTTAGCTGTTATTTCTCTAAGCTGGATCTAAAGAGGATTCTGGCTTCATTTTTACCATGAGAAGGTTCCACCACTGTTGCATATTCAGATTGACTGTCTGTCCTGAAACCAGGGCCAAAGTCATGGACTTCTGGAGAGAATAAACTCATATGACGTGGGAGGGGAAATGGTGGTTTTCTACTTAACAGACCTGCAACCTGACCCTTCAATAAGTTGGTGTATATATATATATGTGTGTGTGTGTGTGTGTGTGTGTATCCCCCAACACACACACACACATATATAGCAATAGCTCCCAACTATCTGTGTGTGTGTGTGTGTGTGTGTGTGTGTGTGTGTGTATCCCCAAATGTTCTAATTTTTCCTCACAGGCCATGTGAGCCAGTCCCCTAATCATTTTCAGTGTCCCTCCAGGAATAGTTATGTAATGCCTTGTTTATGATAGGACTACCAGAACTTTAAATACATGTGACACTTTGATTTGACTGAGGTCATTATGACAATGTCTTATTGTTATCTAAAAATCCAAGCAGATAAGTTGTCCTTTTGTTACACGGTGAAGTGAAGGATACATGATCAGTAGTCTCAAATGTTGTAGACAGATTCAGGAGAATCAACATTATCTTGTTTTACTTGTTCATCTTTTGGTAGATGTTATCCATTAATCCCTTTGCCAAAATCAAACCTTAACCAGACTTCAAATGATTAGTATTTCAGTTTACATACCATTTGCTTCCTGGTGCAATATAGTTAAAATTACAATACATTTTGATGACCATGACAACTACAGTTCTTCTGTATTGTACTTTCAAAGAAATTGAAACCAAATATAGTAGTTATGATTTATTGGAAAGCACCAAATTCAATGCTAGTGGAGTTAAACTGAGAGGAAGAAAGTTGGATGCTGTGTACAATTCAGGCAGTTGAAGTTTTCTAGCCTTAATGCCTTTTTTCTCTTTTGTTGTGAAGATTTAGAACTATATTTTGTTCAGCAAAAACTGATGTTTTATCATATTGTATTTTTTCTAGTCTACATGATCAGGATGGATAGCCTCTAAGGCAGGCCTGCACAACCTGTGGCCCTCCAGGTGTTTGGGCCTCCAAATCCCAGAAGCCCTACTCAGCTCATTCAATTGGCAGAAATGATTGAAGTTGGAGGCCAAAAGACCTGGAGGGCCAGGGCTTGTGCAGGCCTGCTCTAAGGTATGCAACAAAAGATAGGTCACCGTATCTTACTCTTTAGTGTCTGGGCCTGAAAAACACCCCCACTTTCACCTGCCATGCAGGTGAATAAAGCCCAACATTCTGGAGCAGATTTGGAATGCGTACAGGTGAAGAGCGAACAAACTGAAAATTGTTTCCTTTCCTGTTCTGCTAAAAGTCTTTGTTGTATCGAAGAACCTTCTCTCAAGAGAGGGATTGCAGTTTGATATAACTCTTAATGGGCTTTTAATTATGTGTTACAGAGTTTCATGATTTGTCTAATCTTTTATTGAATTGTAATTTTTAAATGTTGTAACTATCAATTGTTTAATTAATTTTAATTAACTTTTATTTTAATAATTTTATCAAGTGTTAAATATATTTTAAATCTGTAATGTTTTAAAAATGTTGTTAGTTGTCTTGAGTCCCAGTACCATGAGAAAGGTGGAATATACTAAATGAATAAAATAACAATGACAGCAGTTAATAACTACTTTAATGTTGTGAAAAGCAAGCTACAGTGATTGTTTTAAATAATCTCACTCAACTGGCTTAGTGTCACAAATTTAGTAAAGTTTCAATGTCTTACTCATTCTGTACAATTGGTTTTTAATTTCTTGTGTTTCCTTTGATTAAAAGGACGAATCTTTGAATCATGAATGTAACCAGCGCATGATTCTTCTTTATGGTGTTGGCAAGGAACGTGAAGAGGCAAGGCATCAGTTAAAGAAGATTACCAAAGATATCTTGAAAATCTTAAATAAGAAAAGCACTACTGAAATGAGCGGTAATTACCCAGCTACTCAGTGACGAGTTTTCAATGGCTTCTAATAGAGCACAGCACATATGCAGTTAAAACATGCCCAGTTATTAACATTTCAGAATCCCTTTGTTTCCCAAGAAAGGTTGCATGCATTTATATGCCTTAGTTTGATGCTTTTATTATAACCTTTGCTTTATTGTCATTTTCATTGAAAGTCAGGATATAAATGCCAATCACATATCAATGTAATTAGAAAAATAAATCATCTTTGTGTTTTTCATTCTCATACTTCAGTTTCTTAAAATTAGAATTTGGCATAAAAGCATGCATTAGAAATATAATGATGGAGAATTGTATAAGGTCTGTTTACTGCAAAAATGTGACGAGTTTTAAAATGTTTTAGCTGGAGATGAATGTCAGAAAGTCAGAAAGAACAAGCAAGAAGCCTTTCCAACTTTAGAGACAGTGTTTACAAAACTGCAGCAGCTTTCATACTTTGATCAACACCAGGTGACATATCAGGTACTTTTCGCAGAAGTTACAATGTTGGCCATTTCTGTGTTTCATTATAAAGTGTGGTATAAAATGTTTTGTTTTTGGACAGGATAAATAAGAAAAAGAAAGACAGAAGATAATTCATTATAGTTACTACCAAATCTTTTAGGCTCGAACAGAATAGGATTAATAGGCAGGAGAGAGATTTTTAAATTACCTTTGGCATAGAAAAGCCCTTCTCAAAGGCACAAGTTGTGAAAAGACACCTGAAAGTAGTTTGAAGTGGATTAATGGGGATAATAAGAAGGCTTTTATCATGTTAAAACTATAGAGAATTTTGCATGTAACAACATAGAGTGTATTTTTCTCAGTGTCGACCATATAAAAAAAAAGGCAATCTGTGGTTAATATTCCAAACACCCAAAAGATATATCATTTTAAGTAACACACCACAGCTGCTGTGACTGGAATATAAGAGAATGAATGAAGAACTAAGAGAACTGTATTATGTTACTATGTCCATCTACACTGTAGAATTAATGCATTATGAGACCATTTTACCTGCCATGGTTCAATGCTATGGGTGCTTGGGAGTTATACTTTGCGGGGGCACCGGGACTCTTTGGCAGGGAAACCTAAAGAACTTGTAAAATGACAACTCCCATATTTCCAAAGCAGTGTAGGCTACAGCCTAAGGTAAAGGTTTCCCCCTGACATTAAGTCTATTTGAGTCCAATTCTGGGGTTTGGTGCTCATCTCCATTTCTAAGCTGAAGAGCCAACATTGTATGTAGACACCACCAAGGTCATGTGGCCAGCATCACTGCATAGAGCACTGTTACCTTCCCACCAAAACGGTGCCTATTGATCTATTCACATTTGCACGTTTTTGATCTGTTAGATTGGCAGAAGGTGGGGCGAATGGCGGGTGCTCACCCTACTCTGTGGATTTGAACCACCAGGCTTTCAGTCAGCATGTTCTGCAGCTTAGTGGTTTAACCTGCTGCACCACCGTGGCCCCATAGGTTACAGTGTAGGTGTACCCAAATTTAGTATTTTGCAACTGCTCTTCATTGTGTTTTCTTCTTTTTCTAGGAAAAAGCGAGAGTAAGCAATTTCCTGAGCATTACAGTTTTGCTGATTTAGATATTTATAGCAACTGTGGTGGCACTTTAGGGTGAGGAGCCTCCAAACACACTCCATTGCTTTTGTTCGCCTTTAAAAGAAAAGGAGTTTTATAGGATACTAAAATAATAAATGTTACTTGTCAATATATCCATAGTATAACAGTATGTTGGGTTCTGCAGTCCTTTATTTGTTGCATCTTTTGTTTTTAAAACAGATTTCCAACAATGTTCTGGAACAGATTACTAGTTTTGCTTCAGGAACATCATACCACCTTCCATTGGCTCACCATATACAGCTTATATTTGATCTTATGGAGCCTGCTCTAAATATCAATGGCCTTATTGACTTTGCTGTTCAGGTAACAGTTGTCTTGTTTGGGTATTGATATCTTGTCTTTAAAAGCGAATTCACTTAGTTGGCTGACACAGGTGAAAATGGTACAAAGTGAAAGGCCCT